TTGGGCTTGCTGTTGGAGGAGCTGGGAGCTGGGGGGTGTCTAGTAAAAGATTCTAGTAAAGGGGAGTGTGCTCATTCGTGTAGTTTCTGATCCAGAATATGGACAAAATTATAATTTTACCACACACTCAAACCTGCAAGCCACCAGGCCCCATATGTAACTAAAAGGGGACTGAGGTATTTGGTGCTTCTCTTCCGTCAATAAAATGGTCTCTTACCTACCTATAGTCTAGCCCCTTGGAAGAAGCCAAAGACCACTGCAAGAAAAGCAGCCTTTGCAGCAACTTCCCAGTATATCACAATTTTTGAGGGGCGCCTTCATTTCTTACTCATAAAACCACAGTAGAATAGAATCATAGAGTGGTAGAGATGGAAGGGACCCGGAGGAATCTCACCTGAAGCATCCATGACACATGGTCACCTTCGGAGGGAGTCCGTTCCACTGTTGAACAGCTCTGTGTGCTTCAAAGGTGCTGTAATGGAGCAGAGATTTCCAAATTCTTCCTCTATGCTAGACAGGAAAAGGTTTGATGTCAATGCAAAAGGATGAATAAACAAAGAAACAAACAAATATTAATCTTTGTGGATCATATAATATCCCCACCCCCCTTCATACAAATGCCAGTTGCACTCTGTTTAAAGGGTTCATTTATTGCAGGGAGGCACCTAGGTTCTACTGGCACATGTTGTCTTTCCTGTTCACCATCCAAGAGATCAACCAGGATCTCAGGCTCTTACCCAACATCACCCTGGGCTACAACATCTATGAGAACTATTTTGATGCAAGGATGACTTCGGACGCCATGCTAGAGCTGCTTGCAGGCAGTGGATGCAATATTCCCAATTATCACTGTGGAGAACAGAATCACCTGCTGGCTGTTCTTGAAAGAAGCAACACTTTCATCTCAAGAGTGATTTCAGCCTTGTCAGGCATCTACAAAATCCCACAGGTAAGTAGTGGGAGAGCATGGAAGCACAGAGGATTTCAACTGCGTAAAATTCTATCTTCTCTTGGGAGGGGTCAAGTGGGGATATTTTTCAAAACGGGAAAATCCTGAGCTATGGATTCAACATCCCTTTTTCAAAACTGAGCCTTCACCAACTTGACACCTCCAGATGTTTCCGACTAAAACTCCCATCAGCCTCAGCCAGCAGAGATTTAGATATCAGGCATTTCAGATGATTAAATACCCATTATGATGAAAGTAAAATAAATTGCTGATCTTTTGCTTTCCTTGCTAGATCAGTTATGGCTTCACTTCCCAGGTTCTCGAAGGTAAAACCCTGTTCCCTTTTGTCTACCGGATGACTCCCAAAGAGGAAAGTCAGTACCAGGGGATTGTTGAATTGCTCCTGCATTTTGGATGGACGTGGATTGGCCTCTTCACTCCAGACAATGACAGTGGAGAAAGATTTCTGAGCGCTGTGAAACCTCTGATGCTCAGCAAAGGGATCTGCATTGCTTTATCAAAAAGAGTACCAGAAAATGATCCAGGTCAATTTATCAGGCCTGGGGAACCTTTTTTCCTACGGAGACAAGTTGGGGTATTTGTTTCCTATATAACCAATGCACTAGGTATCATAATACTCCTGTCAATAAACATGGTATATGAGAAGGAAATAGGGGCAAAAGTCTGGATCACAACATCTTTGCTAGAAATCAGAAATGGCTTTTACATCCCTCCAAATTTATTCCAGCACCTCCATGGTTCTCTGTCCTTTGCAATTCAGACTGGAATAAGGAGCAGCAAAGGTGACAAATTGCAGTTCAATCTTAGGGATTATTTCAATCAAGCATTTCAGTGTTCATATTCAAAGCATTTGTTGTCCGTGAAAGGCAGGATAAGATGCAAAGAGGAGGAGAAACTGGAGCCATTATCCCAAGGGGTGCATGAGAGAGCCCTGTCTCTAGACAGCTATGGCACTTACATCCATGTTCAAGCTGTGGCTCAGGCCTTGCATGCTTTGCTGATGGTGGAGGAAGGAGAGCAATGGGGACCCCAAAGGCTACAGCCGTGGCAGGTATTTCCTTCCCCTTTTTGCAAACTGCAGTCCACACAGATGCTGATCTTGACTGGGGATAGACCTGCAACATATCATAATTACTATTAGTATTAGTAATAGTAGCAGACCGCCCAACATTCTCTGATGAAAATAGGGACATACCATTCCATAATGAAAATTTTACTGTTGATACCTAGGGCTTTTTTACTAGGGGGTCGGGACTCACTCAAACTCAGTTCTGGTACCTCTCAGGCGGGTACCATTGCCATTCTCAGAGGGAGGTGTTCATGGTGATTTCCGGCACCCTTTTTGCTAGAAATATAGAATCATAGAATCATAGAGTTGGAAGAGACCACAAGGGCCATCGAGTCCAACCCCCTGCCAAGCAGGAAACACCATCAGAGCACTCCTGACATATGGTTGTCAAGCCTCTGCTTAAAGACCTCCAAAGAAGGAGACTCCACCACACTCCTTGGCAGCAAATTCCACTGTCGAACAGCTCTTACTGTCAGGAAGTTCTTCCTAATGTTTAGGTGGAATCTTCTTTCTTGTAGTTTGGATCCATTGCTCCGTGTCCGCTTCTCTGGAGCAGCATAAAACAACCTTTCTCCCTCCTCTATGTGACATCCTTTTATATATTTGAACATGGCTATCATATCACCCCTTAACCTCCTCTTCTCCAGGCTAAACATGCCCAGCTCCCTTAGCCGTTCCTCATAAGGCATCGTTTCCAGACCTTTGACCATTTTGGTTGCCCTCCTCTGGACACGTTCCAGTTTGTCAGTGTCCTTCTTGAACTGTGGTGCCCAGAACTGGACACAGTACTCCAGGTGAGGTCTGACCAGAGCAGAATACAGTGGCACTATTATTTCCCTTGATCTAGATGCTATACTCCTATTGATGCAGCCCAGAATTGCATTGGCTTTTTTAGCTGCCGCGTCACACTGTTGGCTCATGTCAAGTTTGTGGTCAACCAAGACTCCTAGATCCTATCACTGTTTATATCCCACACATCTTTTTGGCTTGCCTCAGCACTCTGGGCAGCTCCCAAAATAAAGAAATTCATACTAAAATATAAAACATATTAAAATTCCCGATACAGGATTGGACGGCTTGCGGGTTGGATAACTCCACATCTGCCAACTTTTCTCCAATGAAGAAAAGGAAAAGTGGGACATTCCGGGATCAAATGAAAAACTGACTCTAATCCAGGGACATCCCTGGAAAATTGGGGCACTTGCAGGGTCTGTAGTAATAAAAATGGCTGAATAGGAATTCCAGTCTACATGAGATACACCCAGGCCCCAAATCATAAGAGATTGAAGTGAGTAGGACTGAGATATCCATCTTGGCTTCCAGGTTTCTCAGTGCTGGTGCTTTCCCCTGTCATTCCAGCTTCACCCTTTCTTGAGAGAAATTCGGTGTCTGAATACTTCCAGAGGCAGGCTGTGCTTGGATGAGAACTGGGAGCTGCCAGCGGACTTTGATATTGTGAACTGGGTGATCTCCCCCAATAACTCTTGTCTCGTTATTGGGAATATAAGGAGAGAGACATCTGCTAGCATCCTCCTCCAACTCAGGTTCCTCCCATTCAGGTCCCCATTATAGAGCAAAGCCAAGATCAAAAGGGCAAGTAAAAATAATTTACAGATCAGCCACTGACAAAGCATTTATATTAATTAGTCAAGATTGCATCCTACTTAAACTTTCATCACTTCAAATTGGTGGAAACTCTCATTCTTATTACAATTCAACTTGTAGCATTCCAATGAAGGGTGCTATATAAATTTAAGCTGGGAGCAGCCTCTGGCTTGACTTATTTCATTATTCTTACTAATATTAATAAGTAATAAAGTATGAATTTGGGGGGAGGGGAATACATTACATTAGTGTCCAGTCATTGCATTTCTATAGGATACTTCATTTCAATCAATCAATCAATCAAATCTTTATTACAGTAGTAGACCAGCATCAGTAAAGTGGGGTACAATCATTTTCAGTCTGTAAAACGTTTCGGAAAGTGAAAAAGCATTTAACACAAAGTATATATAAAAGTCTAAAAGACGCTAAAAGAAGGGTTTGGGAGCATTAAACAGATGTGGAAGAGCATAAAAGGTTAGTATATAAAGACTATGGCCACCAATTTACAGAGCACTCTGATATGAGTGTTCATTAAATCTAGCACAGGGGTCTGCAACCTTTAAGACAAAAAGAGCCACTTGGACCTGTTTCCGAAGAAAAAACAACAACTGGGAGCCGCAAAACTATTGCGACATTTAAAACAAATATAACACTGTGAACGGCTTACCGTGCTTGACTATTTCCTGAGCGGCTACAAAACTAGCATATGTTGTGGAATTTGCAGACTTCACCCAATTCTTGAAATTATTTTTGCTCCTATCAACCTTCCTCATAAGTTCTGCAATGGCTTTTCGTCTCTCATCTCCATCTGGATATTTTTCAGCAAAGGCTGTGTGTTTATTCTGGAAATGTCTTGCAATATTTGACTTTTTGTTGTTTGCAAATTTCTCACCACATATTAAGCATACTGGTAAACCAGTCTTGTCAGTAGAGAAGGCAAATGATTCTGTCCATGTATCATTAGACATTCTGTTTTCTTCAGAAATTTTTCTTTTCTTGCCTTTATCCATGGCTGGCCTACCGGGGGTCCAAAAGAGGGACGTAACTAGAAATCAGAGGGCCCCATAGCAAAATTTGCTATGCCCAATAATCAATGCCCCAAAATGCCATAGAAAATTAATCAGGGCCCCAGTGTACCATAAATCCTAATCAGTGCCTGATGTAAATAATAATTAATAATGAGGGCCCAATGTCATCCTCGTCATTTTAAAATAACTTTTTTGACACTTTTTTATTATTTTTTTGTTTGACCCCTCAGAATTACTCCTCCTCATAGAAATAAAGGTTAAATGAACAAGTTACCTTTTTTTGAGGGTGTGTTCTTCACTCCCCTTCAAAACAGTGACCAGCTTACATGCCCCCTTTCAATGCAGCCTGCTTACAGCCCTCAACCAAAATGGCCGCTCCCGCGACTCCCACGTGCGCCCACAAAGATGGCGCCGACGATTTCCCCTCATCGCTGCCCTTAAAAGAAATGGCCGCCGCAGCTTCAACCCACGCCTAGAGGAGGCTAGAGAGGGAGGAAAGCGGGGGGCGGGGGGGAGGAAAGCAGCGAGGACGGCGGAGAAGGACTGCCGGGAGTGGAATCCCACACACCGCGAGGGGAAGGAAGGGAGAGGGTGCGAGCTGGAACGGGGCAAAGAGGGCGGTCCGATTGGCGGGCAGGGTTGCAGGCACGCCCGGGGATTCCCCTGTTCTCGCGGGGGCAAAAGGCCAGCCCCCGCGAATGGAGTGTGGGAGGGGTTAGCTCGCAACCCCCTCTCCTCTCTAGCTCGGAAATGGCTTTGCGGAACATGCGCCTCCTCCCCTCGCCTCCGCCCCGGAGCCGCGGCAAAGGCGTTAAAGAGCCGCATGCGGCTCCGGAGCCGCAGGTTGCCGACCCCTGGGTTAGGCCGTACCTCGTTCCAGGTGTACAGAGAGATGTCGACCTGGATATGCCAAGGTGGTTCTAGAAGAAAAGCCCGTTTGCTGCTATGCTTGTGCTCGGTGTGCGGAAGGGACCTTCTCCGCCCAGGAAGGTGGGTGACTCCAAGGGGAAAGGTATTTCTGGAGAGAGTAAACACAGGGCAGTAATCCAGTCTCACCCACTTTTTGTGAGATTTCTGCAGACATTGGGGAATGTGGATTCTTCCTCGACATCCATAGGATTAATCAACTTTATTACATCCAGGAAGGGAGTTGAAAGGAGTGGTCATAAGGAAGAAATCTCTGGGGTTGAAAGTGGGCAGCTGTGAGAGGAATGCCCATAAAGCATTCTTTCTTTATTTTTTATACCAAGTCACACCAAAAAGGAAATCATGTTGACATTTATAAAGAGTAATGGACAGGTGATGCAAACCAGCAAATTTTTAATAGCAAAAGCACAATAAAAAATGAACAATACTTCATATGAAAATTATTACAATATAATCAATGGACTGTTTTGATCTCACTACTATGAACATTGCATGGAAGCAACAGAAAACTGCATTTCAAATGTCAAGTTAAAGAGCTGTTTCTTCAGGATTAGGCAGGACCAAACAATGCAGTTAACAGAAGCGGAGTGCTCATTGCTACTCAGTTTATCCTACATCACAATTTTGCTTTACCTATTTTAACATTCTTATTTACTGAAGTCCACCACAGAGTTTTTCAAAACGTAAAAGAGAACAGATCATTAGGGATGTAACTGATGCTGCAGCCACTCTTTTTCCACTTCCTCAGATGCAGAACATTGCACCAAATGCTCAGAAGATCAGTATCCAAACAAGGACAGAGATCAATGTGCCCCCAAGATTATCATCTTCCTGGCTTATGAAGAATATTTGGGAATGGTGTTAGCTTCCGTTACCCTCTTCTTATCTATAACTGCAGGCATTGTGTTGGGAATCTTCATTAAATACAAGGACACTCCCATAGTCAAAGCCAACAACCGGGACCTCTCCTACATCCTGCTTGTCTCCCTCCTGCTTTCCTTTTTGTCCTCCTTCCTCTTCATCGGGCGCCCAAGGAAAGAGACCTGCCTTCTCCGACAAACGGCCTTCAGCATCATCTTCTCAGCTGCTGTTTCTTCTGTCTTGGCAAAGACCATCACGGTGGTGAGGAGATGGCTGGGCAAGAGTCTGGCCAACTCCATTGTCATCTCCTGTTCTGGGGGGCAAGTTCTCATCTGCACCATCTGGCTGGGCTCTTCTCCCCCATTCCCAGAGCCCGACATGCTCTCCCAGCTGGAAGAGATCATCCTGCAATGCAACGAAGGGTCTGTGGCCATGTTTTACGTTGCCCTCGGCTCCCTGGGCTTCTTGGCTGCCACCTGCTTCACGGTGGCTTTCCTAGCCAGGAAGCTGCCCGGCTCCTTCAACGAAGCCAAGCTGATCACCTTCAGCATGCTGGTCTTCTGCAGCGTTTGGGTGTCTTTTGTGCCCACCTACCTGAGCACCAAGGGCAAGTACATGGTGGCCGTGCAGATCTTCTCTATGTTGGCCTCCAGTGCTGGGCTTCTGGGCTGCATCTTCCTTCCCAAGTGCTACATGATTGTGCTGAGGTCTGATCTGAACACAAAGGAGCACCTGACAACCAGAAATTAAGGGAACACCTGATTCTTAAAATATTCCATGTTCCCGATGCCCAGAAGTGCATAAAGGAAACACACTTGCTCATCCATGTTGCTCATTCTTCATCTGTGAAAGAGATTGTGTTCATTCTTAGCCCAGGTTTTGTGTAGTCCTGTTGACATGAACCGTAAGATGGGAGGAAATGTTTTGCTACCTTGCTTTGCCAAGGACTACAATGAGTCCTGGTCTACTGCCCTTAGTTTGTAAAGTTTTATCATTTAATCATTTTTTGCTTTGAGAAGTTATATTTATCTCACAACAAGATAGGCTGGAGGGAGAGAGGAGTTAGGTCTTTGAGTGTGATTCCTTTGTCCTAACTACCTATTAACCATATCAATTCTGATATTCAACAATAGTTTCTAGTTATGTCATTTCTATTTATTGAATTTTCTCCATTTTCTACATGTATGCTGTATCATTCACAAGTACACTTCATGTCATTTCGTTCTCCTAAGCTTTGTATATCAATAAACTGAGAAATTCATTTAAGACATCTTCCGTAGTCTGTTGGTTTAATTTCTGTATTGTGTAAGCTCTGCTCTCTGTTCCAAAAAGTAGCAACTGACCTTAGCCAAGCCTTGACTGGAGTCCAATGGGTTTTATTACACTGGCCTGGATGTGACATGTTGTGCACTGATGTTGAGTGGATCACCAGATTACGAGTGAGCAAGCAACAAGTTTAGCATTGGAGGAAAGCAATGAGACGATGCCAGATAAGTTGTATTCCCTGCCTGCCAAACCTTTTCAGAGGAGGCATCTTATGCTCAGTCAGGAAGGAAAAGCAAGAGGCCTCCTCCTCCAACTCAGGTTCCTCCCATTCACGTCCCCATTATAGAGCAAAGCCAAGATCAAAAGGGCAAGTAAAAATAATTTACAGATCAGCCACTGACAAAGCATTTATATTAATTAGTCAAGATTGCATCCTACTTAAACTTTCATCACTTCAAATTGGTGGAAACTCTCATTCTTATTACGATTCAACTTGTAGCATTCCAATGAAGGGTGCTATATAAATTTAAGCTGGGAGCAGCCTCTGGCTTGACTTATTTCATTATTCTTACTAATATTAATAAGTAATAAAGTATGAATTTGGGGGGAGGGGAATACATTACATTAGTGTCCAGTCATTGCATTTCTATAGGATACTTCATTTCAATCAATCAATCAATCAAATCTTTATTACAGTAGTAGACCAGCATCAGTAGAGTGGGGTACAATCATTTTCAGTCTGTAAAACGTTTCGGAAAGCGAAAAAGCATTTAACACAAAGTATATATAAAAGTCTAAAAGACGCTAAAAGAAGGGTTTGGGAGCATTAAACAGATGTGGAAGAGCATAAAAGGTTAGTATATAAAGACTATGGCCACCAATTTACAGAGCACTCTGATATGAGTGTTCATTAAATCTAGCACAGGGGTCTGCAACCTTTAAGACAAAAAGAGCCACTTGGACCCGTTTCCGAAGAAAAAACAACAACTGGGAGCCGCAAAACCATTGCGACATTTAAAACAAATATAACACTGTGAACGGCTTACCGTGCTTGACTATTTCCTGAGCGGCTACAAAACTAGCATATGTTGTGGAATTTGCAGACTTCACCCAATTCTTGAAATTATTTTTGCTCCTATCAACCTTCCTCATAAGTTCTGCAATGGCTTTTCGTCTCTCATCTCCATCTGGATATTTTTCAGCAAAGGCTGTGTGTTTATTCTGGAAATGTCTTGCAATATTTGACTTTTTGTTGTTTGCAAATTTCTCACCACATATTAAGCATACTGGTAAACCAGTCTTGTCAGTAGAGAAGGCAAATGATTCTGTCCATGTATCATTAGACATTCTGTTTTCTTCAGAAATTTTTCTTTTCTTGCCTTTATCCATGGCTGGCCTACCGGGGGTCCAAAAGAGGGACGTAACTAGAAATCAGAGGGCCCCATAGCAAAATTTGCTATGCCCAATAATCAATGCCCCAAAATGCCATAGAAAATTAATCAGGGCCCCAGTGTACCATAAATCCTAATCAGTGCCTGATGTAAATAATAATTAATAATGAGGGCCCAATGTCATCCTCGTCATTTTAAAATAACTTTTTTGACACTTTTTTATTATTTTTTTGTTTGACCCCTCAGAATTACTCCTCCTCATAGAAATAAAGGTTAAATGAACAAGTTACCTTTTTTTGAGGGTGTGTTCTTCACTCCCCTTCAAAACAGTGACCAGCTTACATGCCCCCTTTCAATGCAGCCTGCTTACAGCCCTCAACCAAAATGGCCGCTCCCGCGACTCCCACGTGCGCCCACAAAGATGGCGCCGACGATTTCCCCTTATCGCTGCCCTTTAAAGAAATGGCCGCCGCAGCTTCAACCCACGCCTAGAGGAGGCTAGAGAGGGAGGAAAGCGGGGGGCGGGGGGGAGGAAAGCAGCGAGGACGGCAGAGAAGGACTGCCGGGAGTGGAAGGGAGAGGGTGCGAGCTGGAACGGGGCAAAGAGGGCGGTCCGATTGGCGGGCAGGGTTGCAGGCACGCCCGGGGATTCCCCTGTTCTCGCGGGGGCAAAAGGCCAGCCCCCGCGAATGGAGTGTGGGAGGGGTTAGCTCGCAACCCCCTCTCCTCTCTAGCTCGGAAATGGCTTTGCGGAACATGCGCCTCCTCCCCTCGCCTCCGCCCCGGAGCCGCGGCAAAGGCGTTAAAGAGCCGCATGCGGCTCCGGAGGCGCAGGTTGCCGACCCCTGGGTTAGGCCGTACCTCGTTCCAGGTGTACAGAGAGATGTCGACCTGGATATGCCAAGGTGGTTCTAGAAGAAAAGCCCGTTTGCTGCTATGCTTGTGCTCGGTGTGCGGAAGGGACCTTCTCCGCCCAGGAAGGTGGGTGACTCCAAGGGGAAAGGTATTTCTGGAGAGAGTAAACACAGGGCAGTAATCCAGTCTCACCCACTTTTTGTGAGATTTCTGCAGACATTGGGGAATGTGGATTCTTCCTCGACATCCATAGGATTAATCAACTTTATTACATCCAGGAAGGGAGTTGAAAGGAGTGGTCATAAGGAAGAAATCTCTGGGGTTGAAAGTGGGCAGCTGTGAGAGGAATGCCCATAAAGCATTCTTTCTTTATTTTTTATACCAAGTCACACCAAAAAGGAAATCATGTTGACATTTATAAAGAGTATGGACAGGTGATGCAAACCAGCAAATTTTTAATAGCAAAAGCACAATAAAAAATGAACAATACTTCATATGAAAATTATTACAATATAATCAATGGACTGTTTTGATCTCACTACTATGAACATTGCATGGAAGCAACAGAAAACTGCATTTCAAATGTCAAGTTAAAGAGCTGTTTCTTCAGGATTAGGTAGGACCAAACAATGCAGTTAACAGAAGCGGAGTGCTCATTGCTACTCAGTTTATCCTACATCACAATTTTGCTTTACCTATTTTAACATTCTTATTTACTGAAGTCCACCACAGAGTTTTTCAAAACGTAAAAGAGAACAGATCATTAGGGATGTAACTGATGCTGCAGCCACTCTTTTTCCACTTCCTCAGATGCAGAACATTGCACCAAATGCTCAGAAGATCAGTATCCAAACAAGGACAGAGATCAATGTGCCCCCAAGATTATCATCTTCCTGGCTTATGAAGAATATTTGGGAATGGTGTTAGCTTCCGTTACCCTCTTCTTATCTATAACTGCAGGCATTGTGTTGGGAATCTTCATTAAATACAAGGACACTCCCATAGTCAAAGCCAACAACCGGGACCTCTCCTACATCCTCCTCGTCTCCCTCCTGCTTTTCTTTTTGTCCTCCTTCCTCTTCATCGGGCGCCCAAGGAAAGAGACCTGCCTTCTCCGACAAACGGCCTTCAGCATCATCTTCTCAGCTGCTGTTTCTTCTGTCTTGGCAAAGACCATCACGGTGGTGAGGAGATGGCTGGGCAAGAGTCTGGCCAACTCCATTGTCATCTCCTGTTCTGGGGGGCAAGTTCTCATCTGCACCATCTGGCTGGGCTCTTCTCCCCCATTCCCAGAGCCCGACATGCTCTCCCAGCTGGAAGAGATCATCCTGCAATGCAACGAAGGGTCTGTGGCCATGTTTTACGTTGCCCTCGGCTCCCTGGGCTTCTTGGCTGCCACCTGCTTCACGGTGGCTTTCCTAGCCAGGAAGCTGCCCGGCTCCTTCAACGAAGCCAAGCTGATCACCTTCAGCATGCTGGTCTTCTGCAGCGTTTGGGTGTCTTTTGTGCCCACCTACCTGAGCACCAAGGGCAAGTACATGGTGGCCGTGCAGATCTTCTCTATGTTGGCCTCCAGTGCTGGGCTTCTGGGCTGCATCTTCCTTCCCAAGTGCTACATGATTGTGCTGAGGCCTGATCTGAACACAAAGGAGCACCTGACAACCAGAAATTAAGGGAACACCTGATTCTTAAAATATGCCATGTTCCCGATGCCCAGAAGTGCATAAAGGAAACACACTTGCTCATCCATGTTGCTCATTCTTCATCTGTGAAAGAGATTGTGTTCATTCTTAGCCCAGGTTTTGTGTAGTCCTGTTGACATGAACCGTAAGATGGGAGGAAATGTTTTGCTACCTTGCTTTGCCAAGGACTACAATGAGTCCTGGTCTACTGCCCTTAGTTTGTAAAGTTTTATCATTTAATCATTTTTTGCTTTGAGAAGTTATATTTATCTCACAACAAGATAGGCTGGAGGGAGAGAGGAGTTAGGTCTTTGAGTGTGATTCCTTTGTCCTAACTACCTATTAACCATATCAATTCTGATATTCAACAATAGTTTCTAGTTATGTCATTTCTATTTATTGAATTTTCTCCATTTTCTACATGTATCCTGTATCATTCATAAGTACACTTCATGTCATTTCGTTCTCCTAAGCTTTGTATATCAATAAACTGAGAAATTCATTTAAGACATCTTCCGTAGTCTGTTGGTTTAATTTCTGTATTGTGTAAGCTCTGCTCTCTGTTCCAAAAAGTAGCAACTGACCTTAGCCAAGCCTTGACTGGAGTCCAATGGGTTTTATTACACTGGCCTGGATGTGACATGTTGTGCACTGATGTTGAGTGGATCACCAGATTACGAGTGAGCAAGCAACAAGTTTAGCATTGGAGGAAAGCAATGAGACGATGCCAGATAAGTTGTATTCCCTGCCTGCCAAACCTTTTCAGAGGAGGCATCTTATGCTCAGTCAGGAAGGAATAGGGAGAGGCCTCCTCCTCCAACTCAGGTTCCTCCCATTCAGGTCCCCATTATAGAGCAAAGCCAAGATCAAAAGGGCAAGTAAAAATAATTTACAGATCAGCCACTGACAAAGCATTTATATTAATTAGTCAAGATTGCATCCTACTTAAACTTTCATCACTTCAAATTGGTGGAAACTCTCATTCTTATTACGATTCAACTTGTAGCATTCCAATGAAGGGTGCTATATAAATTTAAGCTGGGAGCAGCCTCTGGCTTGACTTATTTCATTATTCTTACTAATATTAATAAGTAATAAAGTATGAATTTGGGGGGAGGGGAATACATTACATTAGTGTCCAGTCATTGCATTTCTATAGGATACTTCATTTCAATCAATCAATCAATCAATCAAATCTTTATTACAGTAGTAGACCAGCATCAGTAGAGTAGGGTACAATCATTTTCAGTCTGTAAAACGTTTCGGAAAGCGAAAAAGTATTTAACACAAAGTATATATAAAAGTCTAAAAGACGCTAAAAGAAGGGTTTGGGAGCATTAAACAGATGTGGAAGAGCATAAAAGGTTAGTATATAAAGACTATGGCCACCAATTTACAGAGCACTCTGATATGAGTGTTCATTAAATCTAGCACAGGGGTCTGCAACCTTTAAGACAAAAAGAGCCACTTGGACCCGTTTCCGAAGAAAAAACAACAACTGGGAGCCGCAAAACCATTGCGACATTTAAAACAAATATAACACTGTGAACGGCTTACCGTGCTTGACTATTTCCTGAGCGGCTACCAAACTAGCATATGTTGTGGAATTTGCAGACTTCACCCAATTCTTGAAATTATTTTTGCTCCTATCAACCTTCCTCATAAGTTCTGCAATGGCTTTTCGTCTCTCATCTCCATCTGGATATTTTTCAGCAAAGGCTGTGTGTTTATTCTGGAAATGTCTTGCAATATTTGACTTTTTGTTGTTTGCAAATTTCTCACCACATATTAAGCATACTGGTAAACCAGTCTTGTCAGTAGAGAAGGCAAATGATTCTGTCCATGTATCATTAGACATTCTGTTTTCTTCAGAAATTTTTCTTTTCTTGCCTTTATCCATGGCTGGCCTACCGGGGGTCCAAAAGAGGGACGTAACTAGAAATCAGAGGGCCCCATAGCAAAATTTGCTATGCCCAATAATCAATGCCCCAAAATGCCATAGAAAATTAATCAGGGCCCCAGTGTACCATAAATCCTAATCAGTGCCTGATGTAAATAATAATTAATAATGAGGGCCCAATGTCATCCTCGTCATTTTAAAATAACTTTTTTGACACTTTTTTATTATTTTTTTGTTTGACCCCTCAGAATTACTCCTCCTCATAGAAATAAAGGTTAAATTAACAAGTTACCTTTTTTTGAGGGTGTGTTCTTCACTCCCCTTCAAAACAGTGACCAGCTTACATGCCCCCTTTCAATGCAGCCTGCTTACAGCCCTCAACCAAAATGGCCGCTCCCGCGACTCCCACGTGCGCCCACAAAGATGGCGCCGACGATTTCCCCTTATCGGTGCCCTTTAAAGAAATGGCCGCCGCAGCTTCAACCCACGCCTAGAGGAGGCTAGAGAGGGAGGAAAGCGGGGGGCGGGGGGGAGGAAAGCAGCGAGGACGGCAGAGAAGGACTGCCGGGAGTGGAAGGGAGAGGGTGCGAGCTGGAACGGGGCAAAGAGGGCGGTCCGATTGGCGGGCAGGGTTGCAGGCACGCCCGGGGATTCCCCTGTTCTCGCGGGGGCAAAAGGCCAGCCCCCGCGAATGGAGTGTGGGAGGGGTTAGCTCGCAACCCCCTCTCCTCTCTAGCTCGGAAATGGCTTTGCGGAACATGCGCCTCCTCCCCTCGCCTCCGCCCCGGAGCCGCGGCAAAGGCGTTAAAGAGCCGCATGCGGCTCCGGAGCCGCGGGTTGCCGACCCCTGATCTAGCATAATAATAGTAATGAAAAGGTGTGGCAATGGAGGAGTGCAGGGAAAAGAAAACTCCTGGCACTCATTCTTTCTTGCTACAGAATTAAAAGATTTCTCTGCTTTTCTCCTTCTTTTCCCCTTGGGTGGTGTGTTCAGCGGTCACCCTCAGGGGAAACAGGTCCCCCCCCCCTGGAGGAAATGGACTGATCGGAACCTGGCTGTGACATCGGCTCAGAATCCCAGCCTCACTTTGCAGTTGAGGCCAACAGCCTTTTGGTGGTTTCTCTGCAAGTGAATCAGGAAAAACTCTTATTGGACGCCGAGAAAGCAAAGCCTGAAGACTGATGTCTGGGGAAATGGTGAGGGGACCAGCAGGAAACTGCTAAGGGAGTTTTGAGTCCTTTTATTCTGTTGCAGTTGCAGAGAAAGGAGGGTGGGGGTGGGGGGTGGGGTCCGCCCCAGGTGTCATCACTGAGGGGGTGGCAAAAGGACAGAAAGCCGTGTTTAAAAATAAAAATTGGGCTCACCAAACCTTTTAGTTGAGTCAAAAAACGCGGCTGGCACTGGGCGCCGCACCGCGGGGGCTGGCACTTACCGGGGTGTGGTGTGTGCAGAGTGCCTGATCCACGCATCTCTCCTGGGGTGACTTGGTGGCTTGGGCCCCTGCAGGCTGGGCGCTGCCTGAAACAGAAGCGTGGGGCTTGCGTCTGCCCCCTGCCTCTCCCTCAACCGCCCTACAGCTGGGGGGGGAGGCAGAGGATAGGCTCCAGAAAGCCCACAGGACCCCCGCGTTGAACCGGGCACCCAAGCAGCTGGCTATACCGCTGTTCTGTTGTTTGAATTATGGGTGCCTTGAGAGTGAATGTGCTGTGCTTGCTGCCCCACTTGTCCTGATGGACCAGCCCCCCATGGCGCCAGGGCTGTAGGGCTTCCCTGGCTAGCGACTCAATGTGGGCAGGAGAGTTTCCCTTCTGGGTTCCTCTCTCATTTTGGGATGCTCTCTTTCTCCTCTCTCCCCACCGTCAACTCTGGGGTCCTGTCTCTGCTAGCAGTCAGCCACCGAGGAGGACATTCCCAATGTCAAGGAGGACGAAGGAAAAGGCGAGGAGGAGACGACCGCAAGACGGCTGGATCTCCTCAGCCCTGACTGGGTAGGTGGCCGTGGCCTAAGTGGTGATTGGCAGAAGGGGAGGGGGGCATATCAACCGCAGAATGGAACTGTTGTTTCAGTTATGGGTGCCTTGAGTTTTAACGTTTGGTTGCGTTTTTTAATTGCTCGTTTTTTGCATCTTTTCCTTGCAGGTTCCAAGTATGTCACCATTTTCCAGTGTTTCCTCCCTGTCCTCCCTGGATTCCCTTTGGGACTCCCTCAATGAGGTACGTAGCAGACAGAGCAGGAGGGAAGCCCTGCTGAGCTGCACATGGGCAACCCTGAGGCTGGGGAGGAGGAGGAAGAGGAGGATGCTGGCTGGCTGACCGGCCAGGCCACCTTCTGGACGGTTGAGAGCAAGGGGGCAAACAGGCAGGGGGCTGCTAAGGGCAGACCATGCTTGCTGCCCCACTCCTCCTGATGGACCAGCCCCCCATGGCGCCAGGGCTGTAGGGCTTCCCTGGCTAGCGACTCAATGTAGGCAAGAGAGTTTCCCTTCTGGGTTCCTCTCTCATTTTGGGATGCTCTCTTTCTCCTCTCTCCCCACCGTCAACTCTGGGGTCCTGTCTCTGCTAGCAGTCAGCCACCGAGGAGGACATTCCCAATGTCAAGGAGGACGAAGGAAAAGGCGAGGAGGAGACGACCGCAAGACGGCTGGATCTCCTCAGCCCTGACTGGGTAGGTGGCCGTGGCCTAAGTGGTGATTGGCAGAAGGCGAGGGAAGCATATCAACTGCAGAATGGAACTGTTGTTTCAGTTATGGGTGCCTTGAGTTTTAACGTTTGGTTGCGTTTTTTAATTGCTCGTTTTTTGCATCTTTTCCTTGCAGGTTCCAAGTATGTCACCATTTTCGAGTGTTTCCTCCCTGTCCTCCCTGGATTCCCTTTGGGACTCCCTCAATGAGGTACGTAGCAGACAGAGCAGGAGGGAAGCCCTGCTGAGCTGGAGAACCCTGAGGCTGGGGGGGGAGGAGGAGGAGGAGGAGGAGGAGGAAGCCGGCTGGCCGGTCAGGCCACCTTCTGGACTGGTCGTGAGCAAGGGGGCAGGCAGGCAGGCAGGCAGGCAGGCAGGCAGGGGGCTGCTAAGCGTATGCTTGCTGCCCTACTTGTCCTGATGGACCAGCCCCCCATGGCGCCAGGGCTGTAGGGCTTCCCTGGCTAGCGACTCAATGTGGGTTCCTGTCTCATTCTGGGCTGCTCTCTTTCTCCCCTCTCCCCACCACCAATGCCACCACCTCTGGGGTCCTGTCTCTGCTGGCAGGCAGTCTCTGAAGTGGCTATCGAGGAGGAAGAGCCACAGGAAGTACCAGAGAGCCCCCCAGAGGAGGACGGGGAGGACAAGGAGGACAAGGAGGCCCTTTATTCGCCGTGCCCCCCACCTGGAGAACACCTGGAGGCAAGCATAATCGAGGTCAGACGAAACACACATTCATTCATGACATTTGAAAAGCTTCCCTGAACAGGGCTGTCTTCACATGTCTTCTAAAAGTCAAATAGTTGTTTATTTCTTTGACATCTGGCGGGAGGGCGTTCCACTGGGCGGGTGCCACCACCGAGAAGGCCCTCTGCCTGGTTCCCTGTAACTTCACTTATCGCAGTGGGGAACCGCCAGAAGGCCCTCAGCACTGGATCTCAGAACGATGGGGGTGGAGATAATTCTCCTGGGTTGCTTTTGGTTTGGTGTTTGTTTTGTAAGATATCTCTTTTGAATGCGTTTCCAGGTGCCTCCTGCCAAATGAAGTTATTAATTGCAAAGTGGGTTTGGCGATAATAAAACCATGTTGGCACTTTGCAAAGCCGGTTCTCTCTGGGGTTTTCCTGCCTCCGATACCTTCCCCCCACCCTCTTGTTCTTGGTTTTGTGTCTCGTTCAGATCTCTCCAAGGCTGACCACATGAGAACTTGGGAGAGGAGTGTTCCCTCCTGACTACAACCCTTTCATATAACGCCTTGCCCCAAAAAAGAAAAGGAGGGATTATGACAGCCTGCCACCACACAGGCCCTTCTCCTTCACAAACGGTCTGGAGGGCAGCAACACAAGAAGGGGCCTTTTCTGTGGTGGCTCCCCACTTGCGGAATGCTCTTCCCAGGGAGGCTCATCTGGCATCTTCATTATCTATCTTTAGGTGCCAAGCAAAGACGTTTCTCTAGAACAGAGCTTTCCAAACTGTGTGCTCCTCCCAGGGCTGGAAAAGGGCTAGTTGAACTGAATCCCTGTGTTGCGAAATGAGGCATGTCTCCAAAGTGTGTCACCAACATGGAAAGTTCTGCTCTAGAACCAGCCTTGGGCTAATTGGACAACGCATGGCCTTTTCAACATGCTTGTGGATTGGGAGGTTGGCTTATGAGTTCGTTTTTGTTTTTAATACATATGTTGTGTTTTTATTTTGTATTTTTATGCTGTAAGCCGCCCTGACAGCTTCAGATGAAGGACGGCATACGGATTTAATCAATCAATTGTTTGATTGATTGATTAATGATTGCGGCATTTTCCCAGAATCTGGAGGTGAATTGTTTACTTTTCTCACAGGACTGCGAGGAAGAGAGGCCCCCGAAGACCCCCACTTGCCTGGGCTCCATCATCTCCCGGATTCGCAAGATCTTCAGAAGAGCGCTGCCGCCAGCACCACCAGTGCCACCAGAGCAACCCAGTACAAGAGGCAGCAGTGGGGCGCAGGGGGAAAGGAGGCCACTCTGCACGTGGCTCAGGCGCTGGATGCGGCAGCATCGCAGCTGTGTCCACCCTGAACCCAGATGAGGAGGAGTTGGGAGGCTTGCACCGATCCGCCCAGGGGGATTTTGCCACCCCCCCTGGGATGGCACTCGGGGCGATACCCCCCCCCACACCCCACCTTCCTCCGCCAGTGGTGGCAGGGGAAGTAGCACCTGGAGGCGCCCGAGTCCCTAAGGGACATTTCCTTTTTGTTGTCCTTGCACAGGTCTTAATCCTTGTGGTCCAAACTGGAGAGGAGGAATAAAAGATCTGAGCGCGGAGGCAAGCGGGGCGAGAAACCCAACCCCATGTGGCCCTACGCTGGCGTCCCACACGGCCAGCCCCAGTCCTAAAGCCCGACACCATTTGATATTGCGGAGCAGAACGGAGAAGACAGCGGGCAAAGGGTGGACGGCGAAGGAGAAGTGCGAGAGAACGACAGCGTCTACGGTGGCGGAGGAGAAGGAGAAGACAGGACTGAGAGGGGAACGATCCTGGAAGGTGGCTTGAAAAGAAAGGGCAAAGACTCTCCTCCCTGAAAGATAGGGGAGTGGTTGTGGGCGGGAACCCGAGCGTTGCCCCCTGCCTCCCGCTCACCTGGCTGGCACTCACGCCCCCCCCCCGTGGCCACCCAACCAGGTGCCGTGGTGGGGGCGTGTTCAGCAGCCTTTTGCTGCAGTGCCAGCCTTTCCCTGGCCTCATTCCTCATCGTCGTCCCGTCACGAGTCACCCACCCTCCACTCCCTTTTAGTTAGGGCTTAGGTCATTGGCCTTGCTATGGACCTTAGGTTGGTCGCCCTGGTTGCCTGGGGGGCCTGGTAGGAGTTTTTCCATTTGGCAATAGGCTTTTTGGTTTTTTCGCCTACCTCGTAGCAATCGTCACAACTTTTGTGGTATTGGTGGGTAGGTTAGGCATTGGAATAATGTGTTGTGGTGTGTCGAAGTGCTAGGTGTGGCCATCGCCTATGCCTTCAATTTTTAGGGGTATTCCGTTAAAGGAATCTGGCGGTCGTGTATTCTGTCCGATGCCTGCTTGGCGGCAGGCCATGGCACGACCCGCGGTGACAGCAGGGGTGAGCCTATAGTTGGATTAGCATCAACAGGTGATGAACGCCTGGTGAATAAACCCACTTGTTTCGATCCAATGCCTAAGCCAATACCTTTTCATTGCTGTAATCAATAAAGTTGTGGCCTTTTCTAGCCCATTAACCTTATATCACGTGTCCTTGTGTCTTCATTTCACTTCGCGGGGGTCGGGCCCTCAAACCACAATATGGCGTAGGAAAACTGCTAGCTCACGCTGCCCACGCCCAAAGGAGGAGGAGGAAGGAAAGCAAGCGAGCAAGAAGGGACAGCTAAAGAAAGAACTGAGAAAAGAGACAGTGAGACCTTCTGGGGGTCAAAGAAATTACAATAAGAAGGAAACTGAGAGTTTTTAGGTTGCGCTCCGTGGCAACCCGGATGTAACAAAAAGCATTATTTCCGGGTTTTGCCATTCGCACATGCGCAAACGCTCAAAATGATGTCACGCACATGCGTGGAAGCAGCGAATCGCGACCAGCACACGTGCAGACGTGGGTTGCGTTCGCTTCAGGATGCAAAGGGGGCTCCGGAACGGATCCCGTTCGCATCCAGAGGTAGCACTGTATACTAATGGGAGACTTAAATGGAGTTACATGGTTAGAGATGGGAGTTATTTGCCCAATCAAGTGGGGCATGGATTTTATGAAACAGATCAAACAAACAAACAAACAAACAAATATTGATAAAGAATAATAAAACTGCTAGAATGCTAGCCTGGCTTGTGCACAGACAATTTGAGTAGAGAAGTTTCTGCTCAAAGACGGGGAGCAAGTTGGTTCCATGTGCAACAGAAGCTCACCTTCCCTTGAATCTGGTCAGGGATGAAACGGATGCTCGCAATTACTACCGGCCTGGACACTTTTTCATCACTGGATCATCCTCTCCAAAACGCTTTGTTGAGGAAACGCCATACAACTTTCTCAGACACCCTTCGCCAGGTACTGAAGTGTATGCACTTATATGCAGATGGTTTCATGGTCCTCCACTCCGTATAATGGTTCCTGTTTATTTAGGAAAATAGCCCCTTTCTCAGGGCTGGGGAGCCAAGGACTGGTGTTGCAGGACTACCTGCCCTGACCATTGGGCTTGCTGTTGGAGGAGCTGGGAGCTGGGGGGTGTCTAGTAAAAAGATTCCACCCAACCCTCTCTATTTCCA